GAGTGGATACAGTGGAGATAGAGAAATTTTACATAATAGTAAAATCCAACTAATCAAATTACCATTAAGAGTGATGTCTTGCACCCACATTTACACAAACTGTCCTTGAGTACCCGAGAGAAATAGATTGATTTAGAACCTTTAGATCCACTAATCTAAAAACATTTATTGAATGATTCCTCAATACAAGGCACCCAGAGGTACGCATGACATGTCCCTGCCCTCAAGGAGCTTCCAATCTGATGAAATAAGCACATATATATGGACATAAATGTAAAAGATAAGATCCACAAGCTCCAGATAAATGCCTTAGAGAGCAAGTGCTAAGGCATTCTTCATGAAGCAGGTGAGGACAGAAGCTGTACCACAGTGCACAGGCAGAGGGAAGGGGAGGGCACTGCATGCAGAGAGGAGTGTGGACTACAGCCCTGCAGGTGACGCGCTGTCACTATCACAGGCAGGTGCAGGGGCAGGGAGCAGACCATTCTGGCTGAAGCCGCATTTTTATGCAGGGGAGACACAATTTTAATATTTTTTCCCAATTGAACAAGCACATTCCATGGACCAAAGACAGAAGGAAATGTTACCTTTCTACTGCCTGTTGGATTCACCTCATCCAGTTATTTCATTCCTCCTTGGAATTGGTGTGAATTTCATACATCTCGGGACCAGCTGATGAAGCACTGATCAGAAACATTCCTCTCTCCTCATTAGCAACTTCTCTAGCAGTAAGCTTATGAAGGGAAATAATGGATGGCTTCTGATTGTACATAAAATAGGAGGATGTGCAGATGAACCCGTGTCCTTTCTAAGGGTCACACAGAACACATGAGCCATGGAAACACAGGACTAGGGAAACCTTTATTTCACTTTCCACTTTTCAAAAGAGCTGAAGAAGTTGATAAGATCTCTAAGGGAGAGGGTATGGAGAAGAAAGAATAGAAAGAAAAGGTTTAGGGGAATATTTGTGTTTAACAATTAGTGGTTTAAAAAGTCAACTTTTTAAAAAGAGAGAGAAAAGTCAGAGAACTCATTTAAAAAATATCAAAATGCTGTGGTCAGGGACGAGGGATTTTTCTATGAGGATATGAAAAAGGAAGCAGTCTCTAATACATGACAGATGGAGAAGGATGATGGACCTGAAGAGTCCCTTGAATTTTGCAGTTAATAGCAATATAGTTTCAGTGATTATTTAATGGGCACAAAT